TACGCGTAGAACTTGAATCTCATTCCACACAACCTTTTCTTGTTTGGAATTAATTGAAAAATGTTTCCCAATTGTGTCGCTAAATTTTTTAAAATCCAGAAAATCTTCTGTGGCAAGTTCATTCACGATGTAGGGTGTACCTTCTTTCTTGGCCGCTCTGATAATTGGAGCCCATTGTGACGGTACATAAATAGGGCCACTTCTTAGTACTCTACGCTTCTGGCGCTCAATACTGGCGTGCATTGAGTCTCCTTCATTTTGGGTATGGCCTACCGTAAGGAATTTATGTGTAATGCTTTTGACATCAAATTTGTTAACTGCGCAGAGATACATAGAAACAATCATTTTGTTCTTATTTTGCCCTACGCAGTTGTCGGAATAGAAGATGACATCTTTTCCTTTGCACTCCGTTTTTAAATAATGTAATATACAAGTTGCTATTTCATTAGCACCTCTATTAGCAATCGCCTCATGCCAAAAGTAACAAAACCCTCTTTTCGATGGTATTTCAAAAACTGTGAAGTTCAAACAATTTAAACGGCATTTGTAATAAAATGTGGAAACATCTCCACAAGGCGTCGGTAAAACCGCTTGTAAGTCAAAACAGGCTATTTTAAAGGAAGAATCTTGTTTTCCTTTCTCGACGTCTCGAGCCTTTTCTTCTCTACTCTTGATTTTGTTGTTAATGTGCCGTTCGTATCCTTTCTGAAGCGACAATCTTTCGTCTGTATCAGAATTTTTAAAGGTTTCGCAAATTGCACATTGGTCCTTTTTAGGTTGGAAAAATGATATGTTAAATTGGGTTTTAAAAATGTGTTCATAGGTACATTTTTTGGCAACTGGCAACCCTTCAGCCTCTTGCTCGGATTTATAGTATCGATACATTTGCGCTATCGTTAAAGATCCGTCTATGTACTCACGTGTCGTCTGTGCTCTGAGATAATGAGATTCTATTCGTTCAAAAGAGTTGATGTGAGCAACAATTTTTTCTTTAATCGAAGTATTGATTGTTTCCCTCTTATTGAAGTTTCCTCTTCGATCTCTTTCTATCAGAGCATTACCATTCGATTTTTTCCATGTTGTCCTTATAAACTTATCACCAATGTCCAGGGTGTTCATGAAAAATGTTTTACACACTTGTATTTTAATTCCTCGCAGCGTCAAGTAATAACACAAATTTTCACTGCGATTACTTCCCTCAATGGCTCGACGGTATTTTACTTTTAGAGTTTCCATGTGACTACTTACAAATTGTCTTTGAAGAGCATTATCTCCTTGTTTCCAAAAACAAGTGTGAATAGTTAGTCTATCAGCATCGGTAAATTTAGTAGTACACGCTGACCTGCATTTTGTTGTACAAGGAGGTTTTAAACGTTTTCCAGGAATCTCCCTATTACCTTCAGACACATAGGGCAAACCTGAATTTACCCTCATTTTTTTCACGTTCCTTTTCCAAGTTTCGGGCCTAGCGATTATTTTACGTGGTTTTTTCTTTTCATCTTGAGCTTCAGCGATAATCCGTTTTTCTACATCATTATTAGGGTTCACTTCGATTTCAGAGCTTGTGTTTTCTGGTGAACTAGAATCATCACCTGAAGGTGTGTAATCTTTATCATTAATGGAATCATCTGAGTCAAAAATGGCTGCATCATTATTAATCTAGAACGCAAATGAGTGTAATATGGGAAGATTCTGATATTAACTGGTCACCTCCTCCGCTTGCTGGTCGTCCAAGGGAGTCACAACATGTCCATTACTAATCTCTGACACTGCAGTATTCCCTGAGCATCCTGGTAAATCTAGCGTTGTTGAGTTCTAATATAAAAATAAGTACATAATTGTTATTTAAAGTTAAATCAACTTACGTTATGTGCCTCTAATCCAAAAATGAGATCATTGTATTTCGAAAAATCTACCTCTAAGTCCAATAAAAAGGGTTGATTCGTAGAATACTAAAATAATAAAAATTCAAATAAATGACAATATTATTTGTCGTGAATCATGACAGATTCATTAAAGCGGGGTTCACATTTGTGCATTTTCATGCTGCATTTGATGGCGCATCAAGTTGCTGCATTTTTTCATGCGCGCGTAGCTATTCAGATTACTGCAATTTTTGATGCAATTACAAATATCACTAGTTAGGGAATTTACTTTTTGCCAACCCAGTTCTCCTCAATTGGCATTCTGGAGTAAAAAATAAAAGTGTTTTTCTTATAAATTTTTCCCTCAAAGTTCAAATACTTGAAGTATGGATGTGGAAGAAATTGTTCTAATAACACTTATAATTGGTGCATCTGCAGCTTTATTATTAAATCGTAAGAGACGGTGGTGGGTAAGACCATGGATTGAGCAACGGGAAACAAATAGTCAAGGCAATTCTAATTTGTTGCACAATGAATTAGCAGTGCTGGATAAAGAAAATTACAAGAATTTTATTAGAATGGATGAAGATACTTTCAATGATCTATTGAAACTTATTGAAAATGATATACAGAAACAGGACACTAAATTCAGGAATGCAATTTCGGCCAAAGACCGATTATCTGTTACATTGCGCTATCTAGCTACTGGCGAGTCTTATAAAAGTCTTTCCTTTTCATTTAGAATGGGACAATCAACAATTGCTGGAATAATCCCAGAAGTTTGCATTGCCATTTACAATAATTTAAAAAATCAGTATTTAAAGGTAGATACAGCTACACTCGACAATGAATAAAAATGATGTTTAACTAAATAATATTTTTAGATGCCTACTACAACCCAAGAATGGTTAAAAATTGCTAATGAATTTGAAGAAAGATGGAACTTGCCACATGTGTTAGGTGCATTAGATGGTAAACACGTTGTTATAAAAGCTCCCGCAAATGAAGGATCGTCATATTTTAATTATAAGCACACACACAGTATCGTACTATTGGCTTTGGTTGATGCCAATTATAGCTTTTTATATGTCGATGTGGGTAGAAATGGAAAAATTTCAGATGGGGGTGTATACAAGAATAGTTCACTTGCTGCAGCGATTGAAACAAACAAATTAAATTTTCCAGAGGAAAGACCATTGCCAGCGGGTACCAAACCAGTACCATATGTAATAGTTGCTGATGCAGCATTTCCATTATCCCGTCATATTTTAAAGCCGTTTCCATTTCGTAATATGACTTGGCAACAACGTATATTCAATTATCGCCTAAGCAGAGCACGAAGAGTTGTGGAGAACGCATTTGGGATATTAACAAATCGTTTTCGTGTATTATTGAACATTATAAGTTTGGACCCAAGTAAGGCCCAAACATTAACTCTAGCATGCATTGTGCTACATAATTTTTTGCGAACAAGGTCCCCAAATGGTTATGATGTTAAGGAACAGAACATTGATAGGCGATTCACATTTAAGTACACCTTAAGTCGACAAGCAGGCAACAGGTCAACTGCATCAGCACTTGATAATCGAAATGAATTTGTACAATATGTAAATGGTATAGGAGCAGTAGAATGGCAAAATGACTTAGCATAGCATTATTATTATCAATAAACAAATGTACAAAATAAAATCTAATCATATTGAGCATCAACAACTTTTGTAAATATCTCCTTCTTCAACATCCGTATTTTGTAAGGGTCTTCGACTTTCCTCAACTCTGTTGCGATTGTCCTACAACATAATAAAAATTGATAGTTTTTTTAATATTTATCACTGGCAACTTATTTAATTGCTATTTAAAACACTTACTTTGCAAATATATCAAATTCATCTTCAATGTGGGGCCTTTTTTTGCAACTTTCGAGGGATTGTACAGCGGTTTGGATTAGGTCTGCCACAGAGTTCTGCATTTTCCTCTTGCTTTTTGATACTGTAGGTGTAGTTGCCCTTGATGTCGATGTTTGTGAAGTGCATGGACTGTTATTGAAAGCATCAACTTCATATTCATCCAGGTCTTCCAGCGTGCCTTCAAACACAATATCCTCATCATATGTAACTGTAGTACCATTGGGCGTGAATATTTGGGTCTCCTTAAAATCAATTACAATGTGATTATTTTAAAAACCTTATAAATAAATACTTACTGATGGTTCAATATTTGATTGGCTTTCCCTCACTGGATCGCATTCGTTTAAAAACTGCAGCATGTCAAAACACCAAAGTTTCGGTTCGTAGGAATCTGCTGAACAACCACTGGACAAAAAAAGGCTAAGGGATAGTTAGTCAAAGTCTAGAGGCACAAAGGGTTAAAGGTGATGAGGTACCTGTAACATTAATACTTATTTTATTACTAAAAAAATTACTGCATTTACCAACTGACCTGTTGGTAGACTAAATTGTGCCCAAAATTTGCAATAAGCCCTATGCATTCAGTGAAATTGCTCCTAGCTTATCCTGTGTGCCGAATGTAGGCATTCATTTAGCGAGGTCTGTACGATGGGTTGTCTATCAAGCAGGTGCAAGTGATCCCAGCAGAAAAAAAATCAGCTGAGCTGTGACAGAAACTCCTTGAGGAATCGTTTCCAGCTAATGTCTGGTATTGAGCTGAAATGATTATTTAGACTATTTAGAAAGTTATAACTCGATCCCAATTAACGACATTACCCCGACATAATAAAAAATTTTGCGTCCGAATTACGTGTACTTTTTTAATTATGTCTTGGTCCGTTAAATTGCGGCACTCAACCTGATACTTTTTCATCAATTCATTTTTTATTGATTGTATTGCATTTTGCCGTTTCATTTTATTCTTATATTCTTTCATTTTCGTTGTATACAATAAGGGTTGCGCTTCGTACAAAATTATAAGGTCCTCCACTAAGGTACGCGACCATGGAAAAGCACGTATTTCACGGTTTATTTTTAACACTAAATAAAATAATTAACCCAATTCCAAACTGTTTAAAATTAAAATGTAAGGTTAAGAAACATAAACAGCCATGAGTCAACGAACTTTGCAAACTTAATTCTAGCTATTGGCAAGAGAAATATTCCTAAAAATATTACTAAAGATGCGCCAAAAAATGCATACAAAATAGAACGTGGTCTAAAGCATGCATTTCCATGCGCATCAAAAATTGCAAGAAAAAATGCATAATGTGAAGGGGAAAAATGCAAGCATTTTAATGCCGCATCACAGTTGCAGCATGGAAATGCACAAATGTGAACCCCGCTTTAGACTTACTTCTTGTAATATTACGTTAGGTACCAACTGGCAATTTTGAAGTTCAGCATACGTTTTCTTTGGTTTAGAGGTGTTCTAAAATACAAATACATCTAGAGATTATAAAACCAAGCGTTTGTTTACTCGAACCTCACTCTCTTTCGGATCCTCGTTTTCAATGTTATCTTTATCTAAAGCCAACTTTACTAACTTTTTTGCACGAGACATAATAACAAACGAATGTGCAATACTCGCTCAAGATACAATATTTGTTCACTTAACACCAAATTAATCTGTTGCCAGCGGAAACAAACACACACTTCACTGTTGTTGGTAGGAAAGCAACTGCGTCATAATTATAGCGGCAAAATAGTTTTTGATGCTATAGAGCCATAACTGTTGTTTGCGGCGGTAGCGCACCATGATGCGCAAGTATTCAAGAATCATATGGCCACAACTGACAGTTACGGCTCTATTGCACCACAATACTATGAACCTGCAATAGGGAAATATCTTACACTGCATTGAATAATATTAAAATGTTACATATGGCTATATTGCAGTGCATGCGTTAGACATAGAAGAACAGCAATATGGACTTAAGTGAAAATTTGAATTTTTTGCACTTATGGCACTATTGAACTAGATGTGCGATATGTTATCTTTTTTTGCTACTAAAATTTAGAATAAACATGGCTAAAGCAAGCTGCAGAACGTATACGTCCGCCCCGCGATGAACAGTTGGTTGCCTATCCTATCTTGATAACATGCGTTTATAGCAAAATCTACGTTACGCGCGGTCTAGTTATAAGTCTCTGGTCATATGCGTCCATATGCCATACATAATTAGGGCCATTTGTCGAATATTTTCGTCGGCGTAGTCTTTTACGTTTTCTGTATTCTACGCCTCCTGGGTCCAATTCTTGTAAAATTACCTACTATAATTGTAGCCTGTGTCACAACAAATCCATTCTGTATACATCTATGATGAATCCAACGATATCCACATAATTGACCAGATTCTTTTAATTGGCTTTAGATAAAATCGATGATTGTGGATAAATCCGAATAATGTTTTTTTCTATACAATTTTAACTTCTTCAATTTACGGTTAAGTGTTGATAAACTCATCTCTACATTATGTCTCAAATAGATAAAAGCCAGTATTTAATAATAATAATAATAATAATAATAGACTTTATTTGTACATAATTGTGTAAAAGTATATACATATCCTGTATTGGTAGCTAGTACAAAACGGATTGGAAAGCAGTTTCACTGTTCAAAGTTCCAACCCTTATCGCTTCTGTAATATGTGTTATATATAGTGTACATGTATAAAAGAAAGAAAATAAAACAAACAAAAATCATGATTAAAGGTCTAATCTAAAAAAAAAAAAAAAAGGAAAGAAAAGTGTTTAATTCTGATTCATAAATAAAAGTTTCTTGTATGAATATTTAAATTGCTGTGCCGATTGAAGTTTAAGTGATGATGGCAATTTGTTGTAAATATCATATATGCAATACGTAAATGACCGTCGAAAAATCTGCATTCGGTGCGGAGGTGGTGTTATTGATCCTTTAAATCGTAAATTTAAATTGTGCACATCAGTACGATATCTAATTTTTTGATGCAGGTATTGTGGTATTTTTGTACAAATTACGGAATGATAAAGGGAAGCCGAGTGAAGCTTCCTTCTATTACTCATTGTTAGCCATTGAGCTTCTTTAACCTTGTGCGAAATGCGATCATATTTTCTAATACCATATACATAACGTATGCATGAGTTTTGCACATTTTGAATACGACGCATTTCACATTTGGTCAAGCAAGGGCCATATACAACATCACAAAAGTTGAATCGACTTAAAATTAGCGCATCAGTTAGCATTAGTTTTATGTTAGGTGAAATTACATGTCGATTCATCGTAATGCGTTGCTAGGTGCATCAAATAAATCTACGTTATTCATTTAGATTTTCCACAAACGCCACTGCACATTAAACTCGCAACTCACTCTGCAATATCCGACATAAGTG